CAACATTTCGAAAGCGACACAACGTCAGATAAATTAACGCCATAGTGAAAGATATTTGTACGCTTCAGCTTTAGTTCGAAGTTTATTTAATCATCAACTCGCGACTAGTGAATTTACGCTTTCCTACTACGACTTCAAACATGAGGTTGTATTTGCTTTAATGAAATCTCGTATTTACGATTTGCAGGTTATGCTCTAAATATGCTCTGATGAATGCGTTCTGTTGCAGTATTTGATTTCATCTTAATCATCTGATTCAAAGAGTCATATGAGGTGCTATCGTTGTCATTTGGCATCTGGCCACAACTGGTTAGCTGTAGAAAGTTTCAATGGGTCAAGAACATAGCAGTTCTTTTGGCTCTGGATCGTCTTTTATAAACTTCAGCCGTAAAGCGAAAAGTAATCAGACGTTCAGATAATTTTAGGTAATTGTTATTTAAGATTCCTGACCAACGTGTTTGCTGTTTTAAGAATGCCGTCTTTTATGCTTTATGTTTTATTAATTTAGATGTTTAGCACATGTTGGTTTATCTTTCTTGGTGACCTAGAAGTTCACCAGTAATCTGTTATAGTAAGCTAAAAGGATACGAATATCATTCGAATTTGACGATTCGGAGCAGAGGTATAACTAGATTAATCCTACCACTTCAACTGCTGGATGGACAGTTTCAGTTGTCAAAGTTTAATAGCAAGTGGGTGTTCAGAACAGCCCAATTGTTCGACTTTTGGCTAGATATTTTGCCTTCCTACCTTAAGTACCATGCCGCTTACAGTTAGCAGCTGACAGCTACCACCACAGAACGTTTTGACCTTAAAATTATTAGAAGCATTGATAGGGATGCTGCTCGCTGTGCTGTTTATTTTGTTGTTCTCGGTGTGTTGTATATTATTGTCTTATTTTTATTTTTTCCTTTGATCTTTATGCACTATCGTCTTTTGCTTAATCTAGTCTTGAAGTTTTTATTACTAAGCGTGGTAATGTAATGAATTAATAGCAGTTTTCTACTTTCACTCAATATCAACCCCGCTGATGGGTAGGACAGTTCCTTTGTTTTACCGGGTTTCGGTTCGGTAGAAAACGATCCCAAGGCACGTATCCGTTGTGTTTAATCGCATTG